CATTTATTGTAGAGTAACCCCCATGACTCAATATTACCATTGTATGATGTCGTATTGTGCGATTTTGAACAATGAAAAGACATTTTTTTTTTTAACTAAAAATAAAGCCATGGATGTGTTCCATTATACAGAACTGCTCTGTCCACCAGCTATGGAGCAGTTGAACACAATAGATTTCAAAGACTTAGGGTAAATAATAAGAATGTAAGGCATCTCATTAATTTTCGTATTAACTATACCTTGAAATTATAATATTTTAGATGTACTGGGTTAAATAAAATGTATTCAACCAATGTCGCTCATGTCTTTTTACTTTTTAAATGGGACTCCTAGATCATTTTAAATTCTATAGACAACTCACATTCTACTGCTATTGGAATGTGTTGGCAAAGAAGAAAAATGGAGGCACGAGCTAAGTGGCTGGCTCTAGGTTCCGTGGAGAGTCAGAACTAAAGCCAATGCCTGACAGCCTGGGGGGGGTCTCCCACTCGAGGCGGATAATCCCATGGAATGGCAAGGGCACCATTTGGCGTGGCTCTTTGAAAACATCCCCCCAACACCAAGATCTTCAGCCACCACTTTGTGGTGGAAGTCAGCTCGGAGGATGAACAGAAAACCATAATCCTCTGTGAGTCTTAAAGGGTAAACCGAATTTTCCATCCCTGATGTCTAGAGCAGTCATAAGGGTATTCTGCACTCCCACTACCACATCAGAACATATATGACTAAGAAAGATAGTGAGAAATTCACATGACAAATATTTTCATTCTGTCATCTCTTCTTTACCAGCCACAGTTGAAGTCACCCAACAAATCCCCAAATGATGTCACCTAAGGTACTGAAAGTATCATTATTTTGCATAGGGACTCACCTAGGTATGCATTGCATCCAAGTAAAAATATGAGGCAATGAAAATATAGGTCACCTCAACTGATTTTTGTCTCTGCTTTTTTTTTTTAATTTATTTATTTGAGAGAGAGCATGGGGCGGGGGGTGTACGGGAGTGGGGGAGAGGCAGAGGGAGAAGCAGACTCCTCACTGAGCAGGGAGCCTAATGCAGGGTTTGATCCCAGGACCCCAGGATCGTGACCTGAGCCAAAGGCAGACTCCTAGCTGGCTGAGCCACCCAGGTGCCCCTCGTCTCCGCTTTGAGGAGGGGAAGGCCACACATTAAGACAACCGGCATCCAGCAGGGTCAACTTCACTGTTTGGGCACCAAGCTCTCAGCAGAGAGGTCCTTCTCTCCCCCAGATCTTGCCTGTGCCCTTAAACCCTCAACCCAGTCAGAGCTCTTCAGGAAAGACCCCTGACTCACCCACCCACAGAGTCAGAAATACCTTCCTTATCTTGGGGTCACTGTGAGACAGGAAGGAACCTTGATATAAGAAAAAAAATAAACAGGTCTGAGAACAGCCTGAAGAGCTATCAGTTCAGAGGAAACTCATTAGGTTCTTTCCAGAGCTTATTTATTCTTACTTTACATATGACTATAACAAAGCAATTTATTAGTTTCACAAGAAACGAGGGGGAAGAAGAAAAAAAATACAAGGAAGTACTTCCAAATCGACTGTGAAAAGAGGTCAAAACTCGAGAAAGGGAAAGCTGATGAAAAATACTTGAAAACTCAAAAGCACAGCAGCTTACAGCCGGTTGGCAATACCTCTGTGAGTCTCAACATGGTATTCATTAACACCAAAGTAAAAGAACTTCATGATAATCCAATTATCCAACAGAGGCATTCAGGGGTTATTATAATTTGTTCCCTGTTTTCTGCTTTCAAACGCTCAAAGATACGTGATATTCAGAAATATTTTGGTTAATTTTCCTTAGATGTTGACTCCTTGGCAAGGGCTGAGCTTCAGCTTTGGTTCATTCCCCCAGCAATCGGTGACAAAAGAGGCTTTGTAGGAGAAAGAGTCCTAATGATGTTCACAGAACATATGCCCCTGTCACCTCCGGGCAGAAGTCGGTTGACTCAACCCCGGAAAAGAGCCCCTGACAGCCCTCCCTGCCCCCAGAGCATGTCACCCACTCAGTGGCCACGTGGGCCAGCATCCTGGTACAGTAAGCGTCACAGCACACTCTCTTCTCCCCGGCAGATGGGCCAACCCTCCGCGAAAGGAAGCTCTTCGGAGATCCTCCTGTCTTCGTTCTTCCCAAATGGGCTTTGCTATAAAAAGCCAATGGAACAACCATTGTTCCTTTTCTCCACGAAGCTGGCAGACTGACATCCTGCCTAATAACAAAGCTCCCGGATGTGTGCAGCCAGCCTGCTGATGCCTGGGACCACTTAAAGTGATAGAGAAGAACATACCCTCCACCAGGAGACAGAATGTGTCTTAAGTTCCAAGCCTTCCTTTTTCACGGCGTTATTTTATTTTATTTTTATTTTATTTTTTACTGAAATACAGTTGACATATAATATTATATTAGTTTCAGCATATCTTTTGACAAGTATATACATTATGCTGTGCTCACTACAAGTGTAAGTTCCCATCTGTCACAAAGGTAGGACAGTATTTTTGACTCTCTTCCCTAGGCTGTACTTTTCATCCCTGTGACATATTTATTTTATAACTGGAAGTTTGTACCCTTTAATCCCCATCCCCATCCCCCCCCACCTTCCCTCTGGCAACCACAGTTTGTTCTCTGTATTTATTTATGAGTCTGCTTCTCTTTTTTCTTTTTTGAGGAACGGATCAAGAATATGTATATACACGATGGGATCTTCCTCAGCCATTAAAAAGAATGAGATTGTGTCGTTCCAGATGACACGGACGGACCTAGAGGGTATTATGCTAAGGCAAATAAGTCAGACAGAGAAAGACAAATAAATACCATACAATTTCACTTGTATGTGGAATCTTAAGAACAAAACGAACAAACAGCGACAACAAAAGAGAAATAGACTTGTTGGGTCCTTTTTTTTCACTGACATATCCTACACAGCAGAAAAGAGCTTTCTTCCTAACTCTGGCCTGGAGGAGTATTCCCGTTGGCTTTCCGAGTAGGCTTAGGGTCACAATCGGAGGAGATCCTAAAACCCTGGCCCTTAAATCTTCTCCCACCTGTGGAAGTGGATGACATTTCTCAGTGAAAGACTTCCTTCCGTGTTTTCGGAGAGTCCCTCTAAAATGCCAAGTAGTCAAAAAGGAGGCTCTGTGGGATGACCGATGTGTCAATTAACTTGATTGTGTTAAATATTTCACAATGTGTATGTATGTTAAATCATCATACTGTACTCTTTAAATATATATACAGTTGTATTTGTTAGTGAGATCTCATTAAAGCTGGAAAGAATAGAATAGAATAGGTAGTCACCCACCCCAGTGTCAAGGAGAAAACATAAAATACTTTCTAAAAAGACGGACAGCTGCAGGAAAGACCAGAGATATTCTGAGCACCTACAAAGCAAGGCCCTGAGGGGGGATAAAAAGGAAGTAAAACATCATCTGTCCTCAAGTAGCTTTTGGCCTCCAGAGAGAAGAGAAAAAGTGAGGAGAGGAGAGAGAGAAAGGGGAGGAACAGGAAAGGAAACTGGCGGCGGGGGGGGGGGAGGGGAGGCGACCTATGTGTCTCATATCATAGCATTTCTCATCCTGTCATATAATTGCTTGTGTAATACTCCCTCTCCGCTTACTATGTGCAGTTGAGGAGCTACATCGGAACCTTTTATTTCATACTAGTTTTTATTTATTTTGTATTATTTTGTATTTTTTTTATTCTTTCCATTTTCACTGAAATCTAACATTTATCAACAGCCCCCAGAAAAGCTGTGACATCCCAAAGGGACTCACAGGGCTAAACCTTCTGGAAGAGTATCTCTGAGGCTTCTTGGTCCAAAGATCACTCAGTGCTGGCTGAAGCCGTGTGGCGGGCCAGTGCCACCTCTCCCGGGTAAGCCGAGATCTCTCCCTTCACGCTTTCACGTGGTCCTAGGAGCACCATTAACCACGGATCTCTCTGGCTGATGTAATTAATAACGTACAGCAAACAACTCAAATATCCAATTGATGACACGACAGGAGGCCTAAGGGAGAGACCCAGCATTTCCGCTAAACCTCAGTGGAGCTCCAGATACAAGGCGCTAAAGGGAGACAGTCTTGTGAAAGTGAATCCCAGGAGGAAAAATATGTCTGAACGGCAGGCCTTACGCCAAAAGGCCAAAATTATTCAAAATGATTTACTCTTCCATCTTGTAGACTGAAGGCTAGAATAGGCATGTTAATCACTAGTTTCTGAAGAGCACTTGGGTCATTTCACACTTACCAGTTCTCTAAACTATTACTAAACTCAGGGGTCTCTGAGGTTTCCAACGTCAGCTCTCACATTAAGATCTTCAGAATGAAACCTCAGTATATGTTTCCTGAACGGCTTCTCTCTACATGGTCAACTGGACTTATTCTCAGAAAAGGAGAACCGCTTCTGGTAAATAAAGGACAGAAACAGGAAGTGAGCCCGTGACTGTGGTGTGGAAGGATGAGGAAGGTTCCAGGGGGGTGCGGCTCATGCTCTTCCAGCCAGAGCTCCTCCGAGGCAGGGTCTTCTCCCCTTTTGCCCCCCAGCTGTGGAGTAGAGTCCTGGATAAAGCCGCTGGCTGGTACCCCTGGGACCACAGGAGCTCATTTTCAGACTCATGCCCTCTCTCCGATGCTGCAGTATTGACCCAGCTAACATTGTGGGAGGGACTAATTGTACTAGATTCCTATGGCTGCTGGGACAAATGACCACAAACTTGTTTTTTGGTTTTGTTGTTGTTGTTGTTTTGTTTGTTTGTTTTTTGTTGGTTGGTTGGTTGGTTGGTTGGTTTTTGCAAAAACTCCCACCAGAGGGGTGTTACAAACCTCTGCAGTCGAATGAATTGAATGCATTGAGTATCTCGATAAGACCTTGTTCTCTTTCCTTTGACAGGGTAAAACTTCTGAGGAGGAGGAAGGGAAGAACGCATTCCCCTTCTTGCATGAATTTACATTCATGAATGTAACAATACAAGTTATCACCTTATAGTCCTAGAAGTCAGAAGTCGGGCACAGGTCTCACAGCCCAAAATCAAGGTACCAGCCAGTCTGAGCTCCTTCAGGCTCTAGGGGAAAATCAGTTCCTTATCTTTTCCAGTTTCCAGAGGCCACCTATACTCCTTGGCTCATGGTCCCTTCCTCTATCTTCTAAGCCAGCAAATGAAGATTGAGTTCTTCTCATATGGAACCACTTCTGCTTTTCCCTTCCACTTGCAAGGACCTTGTGTTGACATAGGTTCCACCCAGATAATCCAGAATAACTCTCTATTTTAAGGTCAACTGATGAACAATCTTAATTCCATCTGCAATTTTAATTCTCCTTCACCATGTAATATAACACTCACAGATGTTGGGATATAGACCTCTTTTGGGGTGTCATTATTCTGCCTATCACACAAGCAAACCAAAATGAAAAGGATATAAAATGGGCAAAACAGGGGGGCCTGGGTGGCTCAGTCAGTTAGGCATCTGAGTCTTGGCTTTGGCTTATGTCATGATCCCAGCATCCTGGGATGGAGCCTCACAACGGGCTCCCTGCTCAGCACGGAGTCTGCTTGTCCCCTTTCCCTCTGTTCCTCCTCCTGCTCACACTCTCTCTCTCTCTCTCTCTCTCAATCTCTCTCTCTCTCTCGCTAAAATAAATAAATAAATAAATAAATCTTTTAAAAAACGGGTAAAACATGTCCTCTAGATTAACACACATGAAAATATCTTGAAAATGCCAGGAAATAAATGTGAAGCAAAAGGTCAAAAGGAAAGAAACAAAGTACAACATCAATTCACTGCATATCAGAGGAAGTCATTAATGAAATCAGAGCAGAATAAAGCACCCCAGGAGACTTCTGATCTCTAAGAACTGGTGGGAACCTTAGGAAGCCATGTGGCTAGTATTACTTAGTGTTCATACAGTAGTTCCTGGTCCAACATTTTCACAGTCAAATGTTTTGATGCAGCAGTTGAAGATATTAGAAGATGTAAACCAACACTAAGCAAGCTGTCAATCATTGCAACATTTCCCATCGCCTTTAAAAGTGTCCATGACTTTCACATTATTTGCCTGATTCCCACCCCCACCCTCTCCAACTCTGAGTCACTGTTGAAAAGAACTGTTTACAGCTCGGGAGGCAAAGTTCTTACAGGCCCCTGTAACAACATGCTTTTTTTTTTTTTTTTTTTTTTTTGGCAAGAGCTTGCGTGTAGCAAATTGATCCCCATTACCCTATGTGTTGAACTGGATGTTGAAAATCTGTGCATCTTTGAGACCCAAGGGCCGATCTCTCATTTCTCAGCAACCTATTGAGGTAGGGAGTACAGTTGTCCCCATTTAGCAGACAAGGGAAATTGAAGTTCCAGGAGAGCTAAGCTGGAGTCTGGGCCTTTTCTACCCCTGAGTCAGAGTTGTTCTACTGTATGGATGGTCACTCATCTAATCATCCCTGATGGTCCTACTATTTTTTTAAGATTTTATTTATTCATTTGAGAGAGAGACAGAGAGCACAAGCAGGGGAGCACAAGTAAAGGGAGAAGGAGAAGCAGACTCCCCACTGAGCTGGGAGCCCGCCATGGGGGGCTTGATCCCAGGACCCCAAGATCATGACCTGAGCTGAAGGCCAACTCTGAACCATCTGAGCCACCCAGGCACCAATCTGATGGCCCTACTATTCCTCTGTGACATGGCAGAGCCGGTGAATTTTCTGGCTGTTGTATTATACACAGTGTGTATATGTTATCCAGATATGCAAGTTAGTGTCACTAAGTACCTCTTTCTGTCTCTCTAAATTTTTCCAAATACTGGATTTCATTATTTTTAGCTTTTCTATGAAATGTTGCATCTATAAGACTCTCCTTCTCTGTCTCTGTCTGTCTTTATCTCTCTCAATCTCTCTCCCTCTCTCTTCCCTTCCTTTGCAAATTCACCCCAGTGTGTCACATCTATATTTTGTAGTCCGGAAGAGGCAAGTTGTCTTCCATAGTAGATTTCTGGGTACTCCCTCATCTTAAACCATTTCGTTCATTTGGCTCTACCTCTCTCTGGCCATACTGTCTCAGGTCTCATGCACTTCCCTTTCCTAAGATGACTTGGAGTTCTGTTCTGAGTCCAAAGCATTGGTGAGCTACCCATCAATTGCAGGCCTCCCATTGCTCCTGCCCTACTAGGCTCTGCCCCTTCCTTCTCCTTCTGTCCCGGTGGCTTTGTCCACATTTGTTAGGTCCTATCCCAAGTGCTCTCCTGGGAGATTTTTTACCCCAGACGCCCACCCACTCTGCTCCTCCCCTTCCCCATCTGGCAAACTCTTGCAAAATTTCCATCTGTCCTGCAACATTGTCACAACTGCTCTGTGTTAACAAATACACAGTTTCCTTAAGGGGGGGTAGGGTATGTGAATAACACCAGGTAGCAGCTTTTAAAAATAAGATCTAGAGAAACATTCTGACATTATAATTCATGAATGTAAATTCATGCAAGAAGGGGAATGCGTTCTTCCCTTCCTCCTCCTCAGAAGTTTTACCCTGTCAAAGGAAAGAGAACAAGGTCTTATCGAGATACTCAATGCATTCAATTCATTCGACTGCAGAGGTTTGTAACACCCCTCTGGTGGGAGTTTTTGCAAAAACCAACCAACCAACCAACCAACCAACCAACAAAAAACAAACAAACAAAACAACAACAACAACAAAACCAAAAAACAAACAAAAATAAAACCTTTTGCTTGGTTCAAAGGCTTCTGTGCTAAAAAAAAAAAAAAGCCCCAAGTTTCAGAAGAGCAATTAAGAGAAGTCGTGGAGCTTAAACAAGGCAAGAAGAAGATCATTTTCTCTGGTGAGCCAGACAGGTGAGGGAGGAAAGCGTTTGAAGATCAGAGGAGACGGGAGACAGTGCTTGGCTAGTGTAGAAATCCCAACTTGTCTTTCTGTACCTAGGGGAGGGCAGCAATATAGACCAGTTTGTCCCAAAGCTTGCTTTAAACTCAGGTGTTTTACCCCATTGTCTGGCTGTTAGCTTTAAATCTGAGAGGACACCAGAAAGGGTTACTCTCCAGAAGTACAGAACTCTTCTGTTTCCATCTTTAAATGCTTGGGGAAAATGCCAAATGGGTAAAATGGACCTGAAAAAAAGTTGAAACAGAATCCCGTAGAGGCAAGAATGTTATTCAACGATCAGCTCCCGGAGAAGAATAGATGGATTTAAGTGTTCAGAACTACACAGAAATTCTAGAATTTTCATTATACCCAGGAGGAGAATGACCATTATTTATTTAGCAACTACTATATACCAGGCATGATTCATAGCTCTAAAAATTACTGTAATCCTTCAGGAGAAATATTGTTATGCCCATTTCACAGTTGTGGAAACTACTGTTTTACCAACTAAGGAGTTGGGAGAGCCAAGACTCAAAAGCAACTCAGTCTGATTCCAGAATTGATGTTCTTTCACTCTTTGAAGGCAGGAGAAGAGTGTATACCGCTCAGTATACTGTGACTTATCAGTCTTCCCATAGGAAACCCACTTGTTCCTACCTTTAGGAATTATTGTGAATGACAGTCCCAATTCAAATGCTTCGCCCCATAGCTCCTTTGAAGACCGATATTATTAAGCCATTTTCCTTGATGTTTAGACAGTAAGTGCAGATATTTCAACATTATTAATACTCAGGATGGAAATGTCAACTGTCAACACAGAAGGAAGGATTCTTCAAGCGAGAGATGTGAAACTGACAATTTCTGATAAGACTTTTGAAAATCACTTGTATTTATGGTTAGCAATCGTGGCTGCACATCGGACTCACCTGGGGGAGCTGTTTAAAATAAATGCCCAGCTCTGTGCCTAGTGATTCTGATCGGTAGGTCTGGGGCAGGGCTCAGCAATCTGCACTTAAAAAAAAAAAAAAAAATTGCTTAAACGGTTTTGATCTGCAGCCAGGGCTGGTACCCACAGTCGCCTGGTAAAAGCAGATTTCAGATTTCCTCCGTTCTGTCACTTGCAAATGCAATCACAATGCAATCAAAGAGAGTCACAAATCCCTAATCCAGAAACCCTTCCCAAGCAACACAAAACAATCACAGAATAGGTTTTTTTTTTTTTAAATGAGGGCCAAAACTAAGCATAACTGGAGCAGGAAACCACCAGATGTGAATATATTAAGCTTTATTTTAAGAGACCGCAATTGGAAATTGTTGCAATACTAGAGAGTGCTGTGAGCTGACAGATGGTGAGCGGCACCGAGGAGGAAGGGAGCCCGGGCTACCAAGCGCTACCTTAATCCTGGTCACAGTGGTGGGAGATGTGGGATTGTGTCCTTGGCACCCCTGGCTGCACCGGAACCATTCTCATTTTAATCCAAACTTGATCCTTTAAAATAGACCAGGTCTCAAACGCTACTATTTTTAGAACTGTAACTTCCACGGTAACATCCGAAGTGTATCCTGCGTTCGTCCCGTGGACAGAGGCCCCTCATTATCCTGATCATCACCAATCAGCACGAAAGCCTGGAGTTTTAAACTCAAAGGCACAGAATGCTGGGAGAAGAATGGAAACAGTTCCGACAGGAAAGAGTTGGAAAGAGGAGTCGGAGGGCTGTGTGGTGATGCAGGGATCCCCTAAACTAGAATGGCATCTGCCTGCTATCAAGCGCTGCGCTCTGGGATCCACGAGGTTAATTATAAAGGTGTTTTTGAGGTTTTAGGTGGTGCTGCTTTAAGAGTTTGGGGTATCTGTTTTGGGTTCACAGAAAGGCAGCAAAAACCCCTGCAGTGAGCAGGGCTGGCCTGAGCTGGAAGCTTAAGGGGCTGTGTGAGCTCCACAGGTAAGGCTCTGGAGGCAGCTGGTTGCACACTCCTCTGACAGCCCTTCCCCTAAATGCTGCCCTCTGGGGGCAAAGCAGCCCCCCACCCCCACCCACTACCTGAGCAGAAAGGTGAGGGACACTTCTTAAGGCAAGTCAGACTTAAAGAGCTAAAATGGGAAGGGTGTAAAGAATTAGCCTGATAAAACCGGAGTGGGGAGAGAACAGCATGTGAAAAGGCACTTGGTCCATGCCAAGGGATAAAAAAGTTCAGTGAGACCAAAATGTGGAGAAAGACAGTGAGAAACCCCAGGCGTTAGAGATGAGGCTGGACCAGCAGCCTCGCTGACTGAAGGGGCCTT